ATTATCAACCAACATATGTACCACAATATAATAATATTCAACCAAAATATTTACTTCAATCTAAGTAAATTTCAACTAAAATATTTACCATGATATAATTATCAACCAAAATATTTACCACAATGTAATTATCAACCAACATATGTACCACAATATAATAATATTCAACCAAAATATTTACTTCAATCTAAGTAAATTTCAACTAAAATATTTACCATGATATAATTATCAACCAAAATATTTACCACAATGTAATTATCAACCAACATATGTACCACAATATAATAATATTCAACCAAAATATTTACTTCAATCTAAGTAAATTTCAACTAAAATATTTACCATGATATAATTATCAACCAAAATATTTACCACAATGTAATTATCAACCAACATATGTACCACAATATAATAATATTCAACCAAAATATTTACTTCAATCTAAGTAAATTTCAACTAAAATATTTACCATGATATAATTATCAACCAAAATATTTACCACAATGTAATTATCAACCAACATATGTACCACAATATAATAATATTCAACCAAAATATTTACTTCAATCTAAGTAAATTTCAACTAAAATATTTACCATGATATAATTATCAACCAAAATATTTACCACAATGTAATTATCAACCAACATATGTACCACAATATAATAATATTCAACCAAAATATTTACTTCAATCTAAGTAAATTTCAACTAAAATATTTACCATGATATAATTATCAACCAAAATATTTACCACAATGTAATTATCAACCAACATATGTACCACAATATAATAATATTCAACCAAAATATTTACTTCAATCTAAGTAAATTTCAACTAAAATATTTACCATGATATAATTATCAACCAAAATATTTACCACAATGTAATTATCAACCAACATATGTACCACAATATAATAATATTCAACCAAAATATTTACTTCAATCTAAGTAAATTTCAACTAAAATATTTACCATGATATAATTATCAACCAAAATATTTACCACAATGTAATTATCAACCAACATATGTACCACAATATAATAATATTCAACCAAAATATTTACTTCAATCTAAGTAAATTTCAACTAAAATATTTACCATGATATAATTATCAACCAAAATATTTACCACAATGTAATTATCAACCAACATATGTACCACAATATAATAATATTCAACCAAAATATTTACTTCAATCTAAGTAAATTTCAACTAAAATATTTACCATGATATAATTATCAACCAAAATATTTACCACAATGTAATTATCAACCAACATATGTACCACAATATAATAATATTCAACCAAAATATTTACTTCAATCTAAGTAAATTTCAACTAAAATATTTACCATGATATAATTATCAACCAAAATATTTACCACAATGTAATTATCAACCAACATATGTACCACAATATAATAATATTCAACCAAAATATTTACTTCAATCTAAGTAAATTTCAACTAAAATATTTACCATGATATAATTATCAACCAAAATATTTACCACAATGTAATTATCAACCAACATATGTACCACAATATAATAATATTCAACCAAAATATTTACTTCAATCTAAGTAAATTTCAACTAAAATATTTACCATGATATAATTATCAACCAAAATATTTACCACAATGTAATTATCAACCAACATATGTACCACAATATAATAATATTCAACCAAAATATTTACTTCAATCTAAGTAAATTTCAACTAAAATATTTACCATGATATAATTATCAACCAAAATATTTACCACAATGTAATTATCAACCAACATATTTACCACAATATAATTTTTAACCAAAACATTTACCATGATATAATAAATTTGCAACCAAAATCTTTACTATGATCTAGGTAATTTTCAACCACAGTAAGTTATAGTAATGCCATCAGTTATAGTAATTATGCCTAAATTAAGAGATTATTATTAAATAAGATTAAAGCCAGAGATCACTCGAATCATTGTTATATATTATCATATCACCCAGCACTTGCTCTGTGGTAAAGCACACATTCATAAGAGTGTGACTTTGTTATTGCTAACATATTTAGCTTAAATGCAGCATGTCTTCCTCTGTGTTCAGTTCTCAGCCTGACTGACTCGCTTCAGTCCATCAGCAATGGTAGTTGGTCAGAGGCTAGAGAGGTTAGTGACAGCTCTTCATCAGGTCCTCATTACTCAACCAGCTCATGTATGAAGCCAGCGCTGAGCGGTAGGACTATTCATGTCTTCAGAGCAGCTCTGGCACCCACTGTAGTTTATTAATGGCCTGGGAGAGCCCAGCGCAACCCGACTCCTGGCCCTTATTAACTTTAATAGCGTGTGGAATGGCTGCTCTTAGCACACTTCCTGTGCTGTAATTGCACACCGCCGCGGCTGCATTCATGCTATCACCAGAGCGCGGTAACAAGCTGCTATATCTCTCACAAAGTGCTATGGTTATTCCTTCTGCATCTATAGATAAACGCCTGCTCTTCTGAGTGACTGCGTGAGTTTGCTGGATGCTGATGTAATGTTTCACTTAGAAGATCTGACCAATCTACTTCTTTTACCTTAACTTGTAGTTAAAGTTTTTCCAGACTAGAACAGAGTAGCTAAATGACTGGCAAATGAAATGATGGATGGATGGTAGATGGATGAATAAGGAATAGTCTTCCTAAAATGTAATTTACTCTTCTTTCATTACAATCCTGCATAACTTTATCTCTTGTGCACTGGTTGATTTTTTTGTGGATGAATGAGGATCGCTTGCAGCTTGAAGATTCACACAAGTTGTTTGCTTTGAAACAGCTATGAACTATTTACTCTGCCATAAATAAATAAATACATACATTAAATAAAACCAGTATAAATTTTATATATATATATATATAGAAATTGAATGGTAAGAACTACTTTTTTTCAGTGGCATCAGTAGCAACCCAATAGAATATTAAACTGACAAAACAGAATAATGAGGAAGAAAATCCAGTTTTTGTAGTTTTGTAACAGGTGCAGTTTTTCCGAGGCTAGCTCATATGAGTTTGTCATAAAATTTAAACAGATGAAACATAACGATCCAGTTGTCACAGGGACAACAAATATGTTCATGTTAAAATTAAATTTATGTTGAAATAAATTGCAAGATTATATGCTGTTTTCATTCTCAATCAATCTTGTGCAGTATATGCAGGTATTTTAGGCTGCTTAAAATGTTTTCTAAAGTTATATGAGTTTGAAGTTCAGTTTGTGTCACTTTTGGCAAATGTTCCTTCATCTTGTGTTATTTTCCCCATTCAGAACTCTCCAGGGAATTCAGGAATGGTTGCGATGCGTCCAGCGGGTGGCCCATGTCACGCCTCTTGGTTTCACAAGCATCTGAGCCGGAATCTGATACAGCATCTCTAATTGGCCAGTGTGTTCCTGCGAGGAGAGCCAAGGCCGATCCGTCCTCTGACGAGACGCAGGAATGCGAGACATGTGACCCAGACGCGACTCTGGAGAGTTCTTCCGCTGGATGACCTCACCTCAGAGACGGGCTCCCACGGCCTCGTCTGCACGGCTGCTGCAGTCAGTCCAGCTCATTAATGCCTCGTCCTTGCTTCACCGCTGCAGTTTACCACTCACATTTGGCCTAGACTGCGAAAAAAGCAGTGTGAACCATCACAGAGTTCATGGGAATGATCGGTTTTCCTGTTGATATCTTCACACTCCTGCCATACAGACCAACAGACGCTGCTTGTGTTTTCAAACTCTCCATCAGCATCAGATCTGGTCCACTTCGCATCTTATTCTGGCCAAGACCCGCCCACTTGCTGACTGACACGGAAACGGACCAACCAGAGCTCATGTTGTTTCTATGCACTGTTTCAGGGCGGCTGTTACACCCCGTTTTTTATGGACCAACATAAGAAAGCCATTCTAAAAGCAACAAATACCACAGTGGCCAGGGAAAAAAGTTTACGTTTAATTATACAGGAAAAAAGAATATGACCAAATTAGAAAACAGCAGTATTAAACAATCATAAATAAGGACTGGTGAGCTAACTAATTTACACTTACTCGAGAGTAAAGGAAACTTCCTATCTCCCGAGGAAGAAAAAAAACACATCAAAAGTCTTCCGGGTCAGCTCACTTACCTATGCTTTCTGTGTTCTCTGTGGTAACTAAACAAGCAACCACTCACCATCCTAAAACAAAAGAGAATAAGGAAAAAACAAGACCAAAATCAAACACAAAAACAGAGTTCCCAATTCAAGTTTAATATTACATATTAAAGTATTATACCATATAACTTTTTCTGTCACCATGTGCATTTTACTGAAAATCTCCGGTTCATTTCCGTGCGAGTTTCTGACTTGGCAACAGTTACCAAGGGGGCGAAGCTTAGTAAAGGCTCAGTTCCCTCTGGGATGAAGAGGTTTGTGTTTAAATTTCAACCTGATGAAGCGTCTGCCATCTAACAGCTTCCACTAAAGACATGAGTGTGCTATTTTCACCGGTCGGTTTGGGCTTGAGTGAATGCTAAGGTCAGCGTTCATTGACTAAAACCTCGCAGGTCTCGAGTTTATATAGCAAGGCTATTCATAGCACGTGTCCTTCACAGTGGAAAGACTAGCATGTGAAGGACAGATGAAACGCTCTCACACTCTGAAGGAAGTCTGGCTTCATGTTTCAGCTCAGCTGAGGCTAGACGGCCTTCCACCGTGTCGTGAGCGACGCTCCATATTTAAACACGACCGAAGGCACGGCATATTCTCACCTCAGTGTTCACCCGGCTCACGCTCGCCAGGCTCTTCAGCAACACTTCATAATAACTATACACTAATAAAGTACTTAGAAAATAATTTGCAAACTATTAGTTTATAGTTAATTCACAGTTTATAAACTGTAGTTAATATATTACAGTTTTTGTTTACACACTAAAATAAAAATTTCCACACAATTTGCAAAATTCTACTCCAATGAGCAAAACACCTCCACAGATTTGCAAATCCTCAAGAAAAATCAAATATACATGAAGCAACTGTATCGGGTACCATTTGACAGAAATTCAGAGAGAGTGAAACATCTGCGCAATGAGTATGTGGAGGTATGTATTGTTCATCTTACTATGGTGTGGTATTGTGCACTGCTCATAATGTTCTGGCACAAAAAAATACTGTGCAATAGATATTGAATAACATCCTATTGTCTTTTACTGTGTTTCAGAGAGTCTTGCAAATGGATGCTGCAGAAATTCAACATGAATTTATATATGTGGATGAGGCTGGATTTAACCTTGCGAAAACAAGAAGAAGAGGGAGAAATGTAATTGGACACAGGGCAATCACCAATGTGCCAGGGCAGCGAGGGGGTAACATCACCCTTTGCGCTGCTATTACACAAAATGGGGTCCTCCACCACCATGCAAATCTGGGACCCTATAATGCAAATCTAATACTTGCATTTCTTGACAGATTGCACGAGATTGTCACAGCATTCAACCAAGTGGACCAGATGCGGTACATTGTCGTTTGGGACAATGTCTCATTCCATCGGGCTGCTCTGGTCCACAATTGGTTCCATGAGCACCCTGAATTTGAAGTCTTATACCTTCCCCCATACTCCCCCTTCCTGAATCCAATAGAAGAGTTTTTTTCAGCATGGCGGTGGAAGGTATACGACCTGCGGCCCTATGACCGTTTGCCCCTCATTCAGGCCATGGAGCAGGCCTGTGATCATATCGAAGCAGCTTCTGTGCAGGGGTGGATTCGTCACACGAGGCGATTCTTCCAACGGTGCCTTGCCAATGAAGACATAGCCTGTGATGTGGATGAAATCTTATGGCCTGATCCAGCCAGACGGAGAGATGAGTAGTTACAGTATTCTTGTTGCTTTTACAGTAGTTTTTCTTCAGAGTCAAAGTGTATGTACTTCATGCAGTAATTTTTATTTGTCTACAGATTTTATTTGTTTCATTGATTTCATTGTTGGTTGATTACTGTAACTGATTATGGTAAGAAATACTGTAAGTATTGAAATAACTACTTGAAATATTCAGTCTGCAGCATCAGTGTTGTGCAGTGCTTGGTAAGTTTATAGTAGGCCAATTTGTGTACATTCTCCCTATATCTCAAACTAATCATGAAGAATGTTGTGGGTTTGTCAAATATTTTTTTGTTTTTATCCCTTACATAACAATGTGTGGCCAAAAATCTAGCACATGCTATTTCCTAAAATTAGTTTTTGTACAAATGTGTTTTTTATTTATCACAGCAGTGTGAAACTGGCTGCAATAGTGTCTGATCATTGAGGACTGTGTTGGTTAAATGAAAACTAATAGCATTTTCACAAATATGTGTATATGTTTTGACTGAAGTGTGTCATTTTGCAAACAATCTAGGAATTATGCAAATTGAGTGTGGTGTTTGGATAATTGTGCTTATATTGTGAAAAAAAGAACCCGGTTTTCAAAATTGCGTGTAAACAATTGAAAAAAACTGTAATAGACTCTATACCAATAGTGAGTCCTTAATTCATTGTCACTTTAATTAACACTGTTATTATTAATTGGCTCATAAGAGTTAGATAATGCTTTGTTAGCATCTTATTAACCATAAATAGTTCTCACTAGATTAGGTGACAGAAAATAGGAAAATGTCATTAATTACATGTTTTAAACCAGTGTTTACTTTTAATAAACCACCCACATATGCCAGTGTGTGTGTGTGTGTGTGTGAGAGTGTGTGAGAAAACGTTTTCAATTTGAAGATAAAAGAAAAGGTAAAGGTAAATTATTTTGTCTTCTGGGAAACATGAAAGTATCTTCTGTAGCCTCTGAAGGGCAGTACAGTACTAAATTAAAAAAGGACAAACAAATGACTCATGAACAACTATCACTAAACAAAAAAAACACAGCTGTGGATCATTCAGGTAACAACACAGTATTAAGAGTCAAGGGGATGTAAACTTTTGAACCGGATTATTTATAAAAATTCAACTATTATTTTCTCTTGTGGACTATATGTAAACATCTTTTATGTGAAATATCTTATTCAGGTCAGTACTAAATAAACAATAACATGCATTTTGTATGATCCCTCTTATTTTGGTAAAATAATTAACATTTTGCAGATTCTGAAAGCGGGATGTAAACTTTTGACCTCAACTGTAGCAACTAATGGTGCTATAAACCCTAAAGAGAATCATAAATGTTAAGCACACATAAGAGTTATGGATCCGTGTGGTGCGTTAGTCTTTGCTTGTCTCATATGGCTATCATGAGAACCACGTCACAAAATGAATAAGAACAAAGCTCAGCTGATAACTGCATTCCTGACACGTTCAGACCCTCAGTCAACTCTCAGATACCAAATACAGACATAACATTGCCATGACATAAATACCAGAATAGATACACTAGTTTTAAGAAAACTATGATTACGTATTCATTATACACTAGAAGAGGAGGGGGTTGGAAATCTACCCCTTCAGAGCTAACAAAGAAAAAACTTCTAAATCATTATTATTAATCTTAGTTGATTTCCCCATTTACTAGTACATTATCAAAATCAAAACGAATGAAGACTCCTGGTGCATCACTTCGACGGGCGAGCGCGGATACGCCGATTACCAGCAGAGGCTATGGCACCTGATGCACTGCTGGGCAGATCAGGCCGGTTATGCTGTGGACAATGTTTTCTTGGGACACGTTAGGCTCCATTATCACAATAGCACAATCCCTGACAGCTGTCAGTAATCTGAACATTGTTGCAGTGAATTTCTGTTAATGCCTCCAAATTCACCTGACATGAACCCAATCGAAAAGAGAAAACCACCCTGCAATGTACAGTAACTGGAGGACCTGCTGTTGACATTATGGATACCCATAAATATACCCCATGAGATTTATCACCACCTCACTGAATCAATGCCTCGCCACGGGGCTGCTGTTTTGTGGGCTAAAGGAGCTCCTGTGGGTTATTAGATAGGTGTCATAATGTTATGGCTCATCGGTCATGCTCATTGTTAGTTAGCTAATGAATTAACTAATGTTAACTAATAGGAACTTATTGTACAGTGTTACCAAATACACTATACCATGAATCCCCAGCTAACAAAAATATGTTCTAAGAATGTTTTGCTAATGTTCCCATTAAGTTATGAAAACATTATTTCTGAATGTTTTTTCAATGGCCAAAATGTCTGTTTCAAAAGCATTTTTTCTTGGTTATGCATTAACATTAAGGAGACATTTATTTTATAATTTTGCAAACATTATGGAAATGTTGCTTTCGAAACAAATAGACACCTTAAAAAAAAAATAGTATACATTTAAAATTTAGATTATCGTCCAACTAAAACGTTTAAGTTTAAAGGTGACATATCATGAAAATCTGACTTTTCCAGATTTTAAGTGCTATAATCAGGTCCCCGGTGCATCTACCAACCAAGGAAACGTGAAAAAGATTAAAGTTGTCATCGGATGCGCGGGACTTGCGATTGTGGGCGGGACTTTGATACCGCGGCTCCACCTCACGACACTACTGCGCAGACTCTGGCTCCAAACGAAACTCTACTGCGCAGACCCTGGCTCCAAACGAATCTCTACTGCGCAGACTCTGGCTCCAAATTACGTCATTTTCACAAGATGACAGCGGCCATATTGAGAATGTTTTGGCTTCACTTTTCTGTAGTGGAAGGAAGTGGAGATGCGTCGCCCATCTTTTTTTTACAGTCTATGGCATCACCCCATGGAAGAGAGGGGCGGGGCCAGCAAAGCTCATTAGCATTTAAAGCGGCATGCAACAAAACGGCTTGCTCTGAACAGAGCTGTTTTTGGCATGGTAAAAAGGGTGTTGTTTTACACTACCATTGAGAACGTTTAACCAAAGTATGTTGTAGACTTTTCATTAAGACCCTAAAGAATCATATCAACTTGTGGAAAATTGTGATTTCACTCCCCTAGTGATGTTGCAAAGGGATCTCATTATAATATTACCGCCCCTTAATCTGTAAGTTTCCCCCCAAGGCGCAGAAAGTTTGAGCAAAGCACGCTAACTGTTCTGTGTTTGGCTGCACAGACGAGCACAGAACACTATTTAGAGTCCCAGCCTCAGAGGAGACAACAGAGCAGTGCATTTATTGATTTATTTACTGTATATTGCTGCTGCCACACAGATCTAAAATAAACATCTTCACTGACATAACCGACTGTTTTTGTAACTCATGTGTGTTTTTAATGTAAACTTGTGTGTGAATGAGAACTTAGTTTAGTACTCACATGCTGTGACAGCCGCTTTCTGTGCGTGTGCTTCGGATGTGTGCTCTCAGAAAACCGTATATCTGAAGTTTAAACTCATATGGTTTGAAACGCATGATTTCAGCGCGACAAACATGACAATCAGAACCAAAACAGATGTTTTTAGCAGGTACGAGCTGTAAAGGCGCAGCTCTATTCTGGAAAAGGGGGCGGGAGCAGCAGCTCATTTGCATTTAAAGAGACAGGCCCGAAAAACAGCGTGTTTCTGCTTCCACTCAAAATAGGCATTTTCAAAATGATATAATAAATGATCTGTGGGGTATTTTGAGCTGAAACTTCACAGATACATTCTGGGGACACCAGAGACTTATATTACATATTGTAAAAAGGGGCATAATATGTCTCCTTTATATAAATTTAAATAATGTTTTGAGAGCATTATTAAAGATCAGATAACTTTGAGTGAACATTCTATTAACGTTACTTGAACGTTTGTTCACAGCTTTGAGAGAACCTTGCAAGAACGTTAGCCAAAGTTCAGCATCATTTTTCTGCCTGCCTTTGCAACGTTTGCACCCAATTCACAGCGCGATATGCATTTGTGGTAGGACACAGCTGATATCTAGTGTGAGTGAGTGATGTGTGCTGCTCCTCAGGAGCCTCTAGTGTTCTGATCAATGTTTCTAGCAGACTAACAAGAGTCCTGAGCCGCAACAGCTTCCCACTTTAATTTGCACACAGCCTGTCCTTATGGAGTGATAGAGTCACAGAGAAGGACATTATGAAGATGTGTCCTCTCATTATCCACTCATTGAAAAACAGTCTCGCCTCTTCTGTGGGCTTGAGCTACTGTAAAATCCAACATTACAGCAAACCATATGCAAAGAACTAGCTGTTAGTCAAAGTTTGTTTGCTTTGCTTGACCAGTAGTTGTCTTTGAATTATTCTAAAGAACATTTTTCCAAAGAACTTTTTTGTTCACATCCTTCTCTTCACTTCCAAATCTTCAATACTTATCTTGCTGGATCTGTCTGCTTCTTTTGACACGGTTAACCACCAGATCCTCCTGTCAACCCTATTGGCAAAGTGCATCTCAGGAACCGCACTCCAGTGGTTTGAGTCTTACCTCTCAGATAGGTCCTTCACACGTTCTATGTGTACTACGTTAAGCTAACTGAGACTTGTTATAGCACTTGCATATCATTGCTCTTTTGTTGATATTGATTGCTTCCATTGTCCTCATTTGTAAGTCGCTTTGGATAAAAGCGTCTGCTAAATGACTAAATGTAAATGTAAGTCATAAGTACTGCTGTTATCATGCTGCTATCAAGCTTGCTTGTCCTTTCTGATGCTTAAAAGCTTAAGTGCCCTTCCATTATAACTGCACATTATTAAAAATGTGCTTTAGTTTTACACCAAAAAAAGAAAGTAATTTGGGAGGAAGGGTGAATGATGTGATTTTTAGATGTGTGTGTGATTTGAAGTGGCATGACATTTAAGTTCATCTGTACCTGACAGAGCAATGACACAGATTTGAAAATGTGTCCAGTCAGAGCAGAAGCTGCCATCAGCGGCCAGGTGAGATCCAGACGTGACGGGAGACAGATATAACGAGTCTCTGTGAGCAGCTGCGGCCCTCATCATTTCACATGCACACGCACACGCACACGCACACGCACACACACACACACACTCTCTCTCTCTCACACACACATGCACACACACACACACACACACACACACTCAAGAGTCAGAATTGTGAGATAAAAGTTGCAATTATCTTTGTTATTTTTTATTCAGTGGCAGAAACAAGCTTTCATAGCAATGGAAAGATTCTTTATTGTACCATCAATGCCAATAAAGAACCTTTATTTTTAAGAGTGTAGTATTAAGGGTTTGT